CAACAGTTTATATGTGCAGATGTTATTCTGAATTTGCTAACCCTTGTTCATGCAGGTATCATATATTTAGGGGGAGTAAATATTCTGACCAATCAATGCCAAAGGGGGAGAGTGTTAGAATCTCGGTGGGATTCTAAGTCCACAACACCAAGTGGAATTCTATGGAGATGTGTATTAATATGAGGAACATATTTTCCTTAGTTATCTCATTAGATAATTTGAGAAGAAATAAAGAATCTCTCCATATTAATCACCTGAACGTGTCAAGAAGGAACTCCATTTTTTATTATTATTGTGGTAATTGTCATTAATTGGTTTCCTTGTTTAATTTCTCCAGAGCTTCACAAGAATATAGAAGGAGGAGCTAATGCCGACGTTATTTGCTGAGTCTCTTATCACGTGGATAATTTACCACGTTGTCATCCACCGCCTTCCAAGTCTATCCAGCCAAGTAAGCAAAGGGGAAGAATGAATGCATTTACAAGAGGAGCTGCCTAAGGATCATTCACAGAGGGAGATACAAATGCAGGGGGAGCTGACTCCGCTGTGAACCACCTGCCGAAGCCACTACTGCTGGAACAGTTGCTGAAACTGTGGCACTTGCTATTGCAGCAGTTGATGCCACTCTTGTTGTTGGATGTTCCTTTAATGCTGAGGATGATCCTTCGTTTTATTGTGGCACTTGCTGGAACAGTTGCTGAAACTGTGGCACTTGCTATTGCAGCAGTTGATGCCACTCTTGTTGCTGGATGTTCCTTTAATGCCGAGGATGATCCTTCGTTTTATTGCTTCCGTCTATCATTTGATTGTTTTCTTTTCAGGTTATTTTACTCAGGGGGAGAAAATGATTATAATCAATAAACGACAAAGGGGGAGATTGTTAGAATCCTTTGGATTCTGACTTTGCAAGGAAACGTGTAAAAGAGTTGTAGCACAAGTCTAGAAGTCTAGATATGCCGTGATATAAGAAGGGGAGTTTCCTTGTGTTTTAATTCTTTTTAATTTGTCATTAATTGATTAATATTAGGAATTATCTTTATACAAAGAGTTTTCTTATTTTACAACTTATTCTCATACGTGAATAAGAATCCTAACCTAATGGATTTTATTTCCTTGGTGTTTTAATAGTTAAGGGAATTAGTTTTTAGATAAGGAATGATTAGTTGTATTTTCCTATACAACTCTTTTTAACGTGAATAACAGATCTAATTAGATTTGTATTCTCTTGTGCAGGAAGAATTATGAACGTATAAAGAGGACTTCAAGCATCGTTATCTGTATGTGTTTTATTGGAGAGAAAAAATATTATTTTTCTGCTCTTATTTTTGCTGCTCCCGGAACGTCTTTGATCGAGAGAAATTTTTCATAGAAAATATTTTTCCTCTCGTTTTTATTGTTCCATCGTGATACGTGATTTTCATAGAAAATATACCGGCTTTAAGGCTTTGTGGTGAAGACACCAAGATTCAAGGAGTATCACAAGTTTGCTTCTTCTATACAAAAAGAAGATCGGTTCTTCGGGAGAGGGGCTTAAACAGATCTCGGGAGGAGATCGATCCGCCGACTGAGGGATTCAGCGTTGAAGGGAGTTCAACCGTGCGGAGCAAGGGACGTGCTGCAAATTGAAGATTTATAATTCAGCGTAGTATACAAGAACGGCGTCAACAAAGAGGGAGTCTTTGTATTTTGATTAAGTCCTATTATTGTATTCGTAAAACTAAAAATTAGTAAATTTTATTTGCAGGTCCCCGTGGATGTAGGGTACAATTGTATCTGAACCACATTAAAATTTGTGTCTCGTTTATTTCTGTTTTTACGAACTGCTTCACGAACTGTTGCAACACTTCACGCAACAGTAACGAAAAACTGAATCTGACACAAATAATTTATATCTGCACGAAATAAATTCTAACAATTGGTATCAGAGCCTGTCACTAGATACACTTAGTGAGATTTTGGGATTTAATTTTTTTATTTTTTTGTGCAGATATGAATAATCATCGTGAAGGCGCATTCCTACCACCTGTCTTGGGTGAATTGAACTACTCTGATTGGAAAATAAGGATGAAGATGTTCATCAAATCTATTGATGAATGGGCCTGGCGCGCGATTCTAATTGGTTGGACACCTCCTACCTCAATGAATGAGTCATACGAAATCATTCAAACACCAAAACAGAAGTGGAGTGATGAAGAAGTACGAAAAGCAGATTATAATTCCAAGGCAACCAATGCTATCTTGAGTTGTATCGATGAAGAACAATTCAAATTGATATCAATGTGCAAATCAGCAAAGGAGGCATGGGATGTTCTACAAGAGACCTACGAAGGAACCACTCAGATAAGCGAGTGCAAAGACACTGTCGCTGAAACTGTTGCAACAGTTGGACAAACTGTTCAGACAGAACTTACGTATGATAAGTTGCATTCAATATCTGATAAAAGAATAACTCCGTTAAATCTTGCAGGTGATGATTGGGATTCAGAAAACAACAGCGATGATGACGCGTCATTCTTGGAAGAATTAAAGGAGTGCTATGAAAGGATGTACGAAAAATTTCTTCAGGTATGCGAGTCGAATAAATTCTTAGAAAAAGAGAAGCTTGTCCTAATTGAGGAAAACAAAGTATTGAAGGTAAGAATTTTTACTCTTGAACAAAATGTTATTTCTGCTAGTAGAGAAACAGATAGTTTGAAGGCTAAATTTGCTAAAACCCAAGATTCTATTTCAAAATTAAATACAGGTAAGGTAAACTTGAATGAAATTTTGAGAACAAATCAGCCGAACTATGGTCATCTAGGTGTAAGGGGTAATAAACTATCTGATGATGCTTTGAAACAGAAAGAAGATCCAATAGCAAAAATCAATTTTGTTAAACAATGCACTGTTTCACAGACTGTTGCGACAGTTGCGCCAAAACAGTCATTTCAAAGAAAACGTTTTGTGCCTATTTGTCATTTTTGTCATGTTGCTGGTCATATACGACCCAGATGTTTTAAGTACTTGAAAATGGTTAAAAGAATAATGGCCTGCTCACCACTTTCCGCTAAAATTGATCACACTTTTGTGTCGTCTCAAAAACCCAAGATAAAGGTTGATTTAGTGAATAAAACTCAACAAAAAATCTGGGTAAAGAAGTCTGATCTTAATTGTTTACCTGCCATTACTTCTTTAAAATCGTGTGATGATAGTACTAACTGTTCCAACAGTTCTGTTGACAAAATTGGATTGGGGCATAAGAAACTTGATCTTCTGAATTTTGATAATTTGAGTGCGAAAAATAATTCGATGAATCCTATTCAGCATTCAAGAACTAAGCTTACTGAAATTTGTCATCATTTCATAAGGGGCTTGGTTGAAAAGGGGGTTGTCTCAATTGATTATGTTGCAACGGAGAATGAATTAACCGATGCTTTTGCAAAAACCCTTGATGCACAGAGATTTGATTCCTTGCGAAAATCGCTGGGAATTTATGGTGTTTAATCTGATGCAGTTGCATGAACTGTTGCAACTGTCTGTGTGTCCAGACTTGCAACTTTTAGTGGTAGGACACTTCATATGTTTTTGCATCTCATATAGGACCTGCATTAAGCATACTGCATATGATTGAGACAAATGTGAGTTTGATACTTCGTGTTCTTCTAAATTTTGTGGGGGTAGAACTTCACCAATTCCCAAAATGATTACTTAAAAGGCTCCAACTTATTTATTTCTCTGAATAGTCTTGTCATGGTTGGATGTTTTTATAGGGAAAAGCTGCCTCTTTTAATGAGTGAAAGCTACTCTTGAACTACTGTTATTAATATATATATATATCTACAACCATTTGGTCAGTGAATAGTTCGAAGCCTTTTTGAGTCGAGCCAGTAAATCACGTGGCCGAAAGCTCGCTACAAGGCTCAATTAGAAAGCCCAGGGAACTACACATTGCACGGCCAATATAAATTATATATATGGTCAGTGAATAGTTCGAAGCCTAGTTAAGTCGAGCCAGTAAACCACTTGACCGAACACTTACTACAAAGCTCAATTAGAAAGCCCAGGGGACTACACATTGCACGACCAACATAATCTCGTTCCTTTTAATTGCTCTGTTTTTCATGGGAAAAAGCTACCATTAGACGTGTGTGTACGCTACCTAATAAGAGCATCTTTGTGTTTGACTTGGGATTATTAAGTTTATTGGTTGCATTGGCAGTCGGATTTTTGGGGATTGCGCTTATCGTGAATGTGAAGATAAATCCCATATGTTTTGTTTGTCCATGCAGTATCCTATTCACATATGTCTCTTCACTCATGTCTATTTCTCATGTTTACTTTTTGTACTGCATTAGGCATTATTTAAAAAAAAAAAAAAAAAAAAAAAAAAAAAAAAGAGAGAGAGAGACGGGATTTTTGTTTATGTGCCGGTTAAATTTGATTTTTTTTGTTGCAACCGGATCGATTGGGCTTACTCCTCACATTTCCACGTTTCTTATGAAGTTTGGCAAAGTCTGTAGTCTTTGCTATTTAATGTTGGATTTGATATCACTATCCTTTGATTTTCGCATTGCAATTATCGTGTGGTATTGAGTTTGTGAGTTTGTGATTTTCTGTGCACGTTATGTATAGTGATTCTTCTCACTTCCTTCCAAGATTCTCTCTTCGTTTTGATCTTTTTGTTAAGTGTTTGAACAGCTTGCTTGAATCATCAAGATCATTAGTCCATGTTGAGTTATCTCTGCATGGTGATTGCCCACAAAGGGGGAGAAAAGAACAGTAACGATGGCATGAACACAGGGAGAGTTTCGACAACTGTTGCGACAGTGCATCAGACAGTTGCTGGAACAGTGCAGGAATGCAGGGGGAGTTCCGACAACTGTTGCTACAGTGCATCAGACAGTTGCTGGGCAGAAATATAGGACAAATAATAAGCATTGTGCAGAGAAGTTGTTTCTGCTACTGCATATCCTTTTATCTCGTGCTTATCTGAACGAATTATCTGCCTTTATTTTGGAACTATGGTTTATTTATGGTTTACACTATCTGCTGAACTGTTTGATAAACTGTTGCAACAGTTTATATGTGCAGATGTTATTCTGAATTTGCTAACCCTTGTTCATGCAGGTATCATATATTTAGGGGGAGTAAATATTCTGACCAATCAATGCCAAAGGGGGAGAGTGTTAGAATCTCGGTGGGATTCTAAGTCCACAACACCAAGTGGAATTCTATGGAGATGTGTATTAATATGAGGAACATATTTTCCTTAGTTATCTCATTAGATAATTTGAGAAGAAATAAAGAATCTCTCCATATTAATCACCTGAACGTGTCAAGAAGGAACTCCATTTTTTATTATTATTGTGGTAATTGTCATTAATTGGTTTCCTTGTTTAATTTCTCCAGAGCTTCACAAGAATATAGAAGGAGGAGCTAATGCCGACGTTATTTGCTGAGTCTCTTATCACGTGGATAATTTACCACGTTGTCATCCACCGCCTTCCAAGTCTATCCAGCCAAGTAAGCAAAGGGGAAGAATGAATGCATTTACAAGAGGAGCTGCCTAAGGATCATTCACAGAGGGAGATACAAATGCAGGGGGAGCTGACTCCGCTGTGAACCACCTGCCGAAGCCACTACTGCTGGAACAGTTGCTGAAACTGTGGCACTTGCTATTGCAGCAGTTGATGCCACTCTTGTTGTTGGATGTTCCTTTAATGCTGAGGATGATCCTTCGTTTTATTGTGGCACTTGCTGGAACAGTTGCTGAAACTGTGGCACTTGCTATTGCAGCAGTTGATGCCACTCTTGTTGCTGGATGTTCCTTTAATGCCGAGGATGATCCTTCGTTTTATTGCTTCCGTCTATCATTTGATTGTTTTCTTTTCAGGTTATTTTACTCAGGGGGAGAAAATGATTATAATCAATAAACGACAAAGGGGGAGATTGTTAGAATCCTTTGGATTCTGACTTTGCAAGGAAACGTGTAAAAGAGTTGTAGCACAAGTCTAGAAGTCTAGATATGCCGTGATATAAGAAGGGGAGTTTCCTTGTGTTTTAATTCTTTTTAATTTGTCATTAATTGATTAATATTAGGAATTATCTTTATACAAAGAGTTTTCTTATTTTACAACTTATTCTCATACGTGAATAAGAATCCTAACCTAATGGATTTTATTTCCTTGGTGTTTTAATAGTTAAGGGAATTAGTTTTTAGATAAGGAATGATTAGTTGTATTTTCCTATACAACTCTTTTTAACGTGAATAACAGATCTAATTAGATTTGTATTCTCTTGTGCAGGAAGAATTATGAACGTATAAAGAGGACTTCAAGCATCGTTATCTGTATGTGTTTTATTGGAGAGAAAAAATATTATTTTTCTGCTCTTATTTTTGCTGCTCCCGGAACGTCTTTGATCGAGAGAAATTTTTCATAGAAAATATTTTTCCTCTCGTTTTTATTGTTCCATCGTGATACGTGATTTTCATAGAAAATATACCGGCTTTAAGGCTTTGTGGTGAAGACACCAAGATTCAAGGAGTATCACAAGTTTGCTTCTTCTATACAAAAAGAAGATCGGTTCTTCGGGAGAGGGGCTTAAACAGATCTCGGGAGGAGATCGATCCGCCGACTGAGGGATTCAGCGTTGAAGGGAGTTCAACCGTGCGGAGCAAGGGACGTGCTGCAAATTGAAGATTTATAATTCAGCGTAGTATACAAGAACGGCGTCAACAAAGAGGGAGTCTTTGTATTTTGATTAAGTCCTATTATTGTATTCGTAAAACTAAAAATTAGTAAATTTTATTTGCAGGTCCCCGTGGATGTAGGGTACAATTGTATCTGAACCACATTAAAATTTGTGTCTCGTTTATTTCTGTTTTTACGAACTGCTTCACGAACTGTTGCAACACTTCACGCAACAGTAACGAAAAACTGAATCTGACACAAATAATTTATATCTGCACGAAATAAATTCTAACACATACTTCAACGAATTCAAGATATTGGTGTAGGGCCGTATATTGTTGTAATACAATTTGCAACGACTGAGATAAAGAATGGTATTAGTTTGTTCAATAATTTCTTTTATGCATCATGTATAAATAATGTTAGGGTCATTTATTACATCTCACTATTATTGTTATGTTTTCGTAGGTGAAGTTCAGGTATCTAACCATTGGCATTCATCACGCGTGCTTATAAATGAGGATATACCTGCAATTAATGAGTTCAAATCGAGGTTACAATTGTATATTTAAATGCATTAATTACGTTTTTTTAAATTTATTTTTTTTCATTACGATTTATTTGCATGTAACTTTTCATTTTAGTCTCATTCGGAGTAAACCAAATAGCGGTCAAGTGATAAGTCAAATATCGTCGCAGTCTTCTTACTCGATGGAAGATGATTTCATACATAAGACTGTCAGAAAAAATTTGGACGAACTGAGTGACACAAATGAGGTAATAACGATGTATTTGCTACATTATTTATTCGTTCATTTTCAGTAAAAATACTAATAGGAATCATTTATCAAGATTGATTATAACTATAATTAACTGATGCTTATTTTCACATTTTAGCCTGGCAAATATGTTGTATTGGCCACTATTAAGGGTCTTGTGAAAACATCAAAGTGGTGGTACAATGGTTGCATTAAGTGTAATAGATCTGCTAGACAGGATTCAAAAATGTGGTATTGTCACGTTTGCAAAGCTCATTGGCCTACTGCTAAGCCAACGTATGTACTATTTATTTTTTCTTTGGGTTAATTATATTACCATTCTACAAATACTTTTCATTCACATTTTGTTATTCTTTTTAGTTATAAAGTTGAAGTCATTGTCATGGACGATACAAATTCAGCTTCGATGATTGTATTTGGGAAAGAAGCTGAAAGGATGCTAGATATTCCTGTAGAAGCATTAATTCAAACAGTCCAAAACAGGGTACATTGATCAACCACTCATCCTTTTTTTTAATCTAAAATATACATTTTTTTAGAGTAATCAATTAATTTTGTATTTTTATCATTTATTTATTTTTAATGCTATGAAGGGAGAAGAACCTGTGGAGTATCCTATGGAACTTGAGGGGTTGATTGATCGAAGAATGTTATTCAAAATTGCTATCAAGGGTGATAATGTTGCCAATGAAGATCATAAAACCTACAATGTTCAAAAAGTTTGCACAGATGATGCTATCATTGCTTCATTTTTGAAGCATTACGAAATGGATGCGGTATTGATAATTAACTTTAATATAATTATTTCTTTTTATTTTAATACGTGGTTTTTGAATGTGTATGTATTTTATAATATTGCAGAAACATGATAATGGTTCATCGTCGCTGAGTGTCAATTATGACAACGATGGGTGTGTCTTCTCATCAAAGGTTGACAATTTATTTTTGATTAATTGTTAATATGGTGCACGTAAGAGATGTTTCACAAATACACAAATATTTTACGTAATTATTTGCTAATTAATAGGACTCTGGAACGTGTTCTAATTTTAACGATGGCGTTGTGGATGGTGATATCACAACTAATGCTATTGTGGATGATGATGTCAACGCTATTACTCCAATGAAGCGATCCAACGATTGTATTTTGGATAGTATTCTCAATGATCCTACCGTCCAGCAATCATCCACCAAATTATTGAAAAAGATCAAACAAGAGAAAATGGAGTAATGTATTATTTAAATTTATTCGTCATTTTTTGTTATTCATTTCGATTTTCTTTGGTATTTCGTATTTAGATACAGAATACGTATTTCTATTTTTAGACAATGTCCTTAATACTTTCCAAATTATGCGTATATTCCAAACTATATAATCTACCTAACCCAATGTTATTTTCAATAATCAAACCACATTCTTCAAATTATTGTACGTAAATATTTTTACTCAAGAATTATTGATTTTATATTTTTAATCGTTCTTTCACCCAACATTTATTTACGCACAATACGGTACGGATTTTATTACCCCCTTCCCTCCCCCATTTTTTTAATATTTCAATCCAGAATCCAAATTCGTTCGAGGTGAAAATGGAAGTTCAACTAAAATTATGCGTACTTTGCAACAACCATTTTGATCGCAATTTGGATCCATGTATGTGTATTTCATGCAGAGAATCTATCAAAGTCGAACTGCACACGGGGCCATGTGTTATATGTGGTGTAGTTGAAACAGAAGATTACAAAACCTTTTTCAATTGTGGGTTGTGTGAATGCGTGTTTACACATTATATGTGTATACCGCCGAATGAACGTCGGCACTCTGGCTCTGTATGGAGGTGTGGTCAATGCGATTGGTCTTTCAACATGGCGATGTATCAACCATTTTCTAACGAAAATGAATTTATTTTTGATGACGATTTAAATAACATTAATGCCTCACTCATCTACTTTGGGAAGAAGTTTACATTCAAAGATCTCCACAAGAAGGTAATATCAGTTCTTAATGTGAAATTTTCATTGGATGTTATCATAAACTTATCATTACATTTATTCTAATCTTTTTTCATTTGCATACGTTATAGTATATACGCAATTCTTTTGCTAAGAATCATGGGTTGATTGGCAAAAACTACATCGATGTTGAGTTTCTCGGTGGTACAACGATGAATATTAGAGTACGTACAACAAGAAGACGTAAAAAACCTAATGTCTACCTCACTATTGGTTGGAAATCGTTTTGTTCTTCCAACAACATGGTTATTGGCAATACATATTCGTTTGCGTTTGACACTACAAGAAATGTAATTATTGTTGCGAATGTCGATTAGGTTATTATGTTTTATATTTAAATCGTATTATCAATAAATTGATTAATTATTCAAAAATATTCCGTGCAAATATTTTTACTAATTAAATCGACTAAGCAATGATAAATATTTTCTCCCAATATGATTCCACAGATGCTGTCAATAGTGTACGAAAAAAATCATTTCCAACATATACAGAAAAATTGACTAAGAAAAAGGAAGGTATTATATCAAGTATTTTTTTAGCAATAAAAAACAAGTGGCATTAATTAAATGGGGAGTAATTGTGGTGTCGATGTTATGTTAGACGTTAATACTGTTATCTTTGTACAATTATTGCTAAATAATTATAAATAAATGAATTTTATAATAAAGAATTTATGTTGTTATTAAAACAGATGACGTTGAGTACTGTTGCAATGGTGTATCTACATCGTGTGAAGAGCATTTACAAGTTACAAAATCTTATTACGAATCAAATAAAAGGTGCGATCTTATTTTCTAGGACTAATTTTATGTTTTATTAAATGATTAAGTGTGCAATACATGTAGACAATATTACAGTTTTTTCTTTCATTTTTTTACAAGCTGAATGTTTACTATTATGTTAGTTGTACCGTGCGGAATGGAAAGAAGATGGCTAGGAGTCATAAAACAATTGACTCTGTAACACGTATGTTGGATATGACATCAGTACCCGCTATGTTGGTAGATGAGGATTTACAGACGTTAAGAGACAATTCTTCCGACAGCGGAGGTAATTATCTTTGTCAACATTTCATTACGTATCTCATTGCTATGCGTTATTTGTCAGTATATTTTTCTACTGTAATGATAATTTTTTGTTCATAAATGTAGATTCTGAATATGTTTCCAACGATGAGAATAGTGACGATGCAGTTGACGATACTGGTAAATATCATTTTAATCTAACAACTTTTAATCTTAACATTACTAATTATATAAATTCATTACATTTTTTTAGATGAGTAATATTATTTAGTTAATTTTGGATAGATTATGAAGATCTTGGAGACCAGACGTATGAATGTCCTTTTTGTGGTTCAATGATGTGGTACGGTGAAAGAATTGACAAGCATAGACAAACATCCAGGCCAAAATTTGGCTTATGTTGTATGTCCGGGAAAGTCCAGCTCCCAAAAATAAGAGATGCACCTCCTACACTTAACAGTTTAGTGTTTGGCACTGATCGGAGGAGCAAACATTTCCAAGAGAACGTACGATCGTATAATATGATGTTTTCTTTCACTTCGCTTGGTGGAAAAGTGCAGACATCTATTAATAACGGATCTGGTCCATACACATTTCTGTTACACGGACAGAATTATCATCTACTGGGCAGTTTATTGCCGGAAGAAGGCACTAGGCCTAAGTTTGCCCAACTTTACATTTTCGACACAGAAAATGAGATTCAGAATCGAATTGATGCCGTCAGGTAAATTTTACGGAATTATATTCATGTTATACGGAATATAGAGCTTACAAATTATAATTACATTATTTTTTATTTCACAGGTCCGGAAATCAATCTAACAATCTTGACCCAGCCATCGTTGCATCGTTGAAAGATATGATTGACGATAACAATGTACTTGCACAACATTACCGCGCTGTTCGAGATCGTTTTTCCAATGATGGCCATCAAGGAGTAAAACTCAGATTGGTAAAGAGTCGCAGTACTGATGGCAGGACGTACAATCTTCCTAACGCAAGTGAAATAGCAGGCTTGATCGTTGGTGACTTTGACACACAAGAGGGTGTTAGGGATATTGTAGTTGAGACGCGCTCAAATAAGCTTCAACGAATCAGTGAGCTCCATCCTCTTTACTTGCCTCTACAGTATCCTCTTTTATTTCCTTACGGTGAAGATGGTTATCGAGACGATATCAGTTTGAGAGAATCTTCACTTGCTGATAATAGAAAACGAAGGAAGGTAAGCATGCGAGAATTCTTTGCATACCTAATTCAGAAACGGCATGGAGAACATTCGTTACTTTTGCATTCCAAGAAGTTATTTCAGCAGTTTTGTGTTGATGGATTTTCGATGGTTGAGTCACAGAGGTTGAATTTCATAAGGTTCAATCAAGATCAACTTAGGGTTGACATGTACAAGGGTATCGAAGAAAAGATTTTTAAAGGAGACACTGAGGGTAAATCTGTTGGACAACGCATTATAATTCCAGGGTCGTTCACCGCAGGTCCAAGGTATATGTTTAACAACTTCGTTGATGCTCTTCAAATATGTAACTGGATTGGATTTCCAATGGCCAGAAATACAAAGGGTGTTAAAAGATACAAATCTCAGACCGGAAGGATCGGCCAGACATTCTGTGTCGTGTGTTCAAAATGAAGCTCGATAGTATGATGACGGAAATCAAGATGGGCCGTATATTCGGACGTATTAGAGCATGTGAGTATTTAATTAGATATCCATTTATAATTAAACATTCAATACGTTTATATTAATTAGATAATTTAGTCATTTGCGAGTTTAACTACTTTTTGCTTCATTAACTAAATTAATTCATATTTTTTAATACCGTATGTTTACATTTTTTATGCAGATGTCTGCACAATTGAATTTCAGAAACGAGGTCTACCGCATGCACATATTTTATTGTGGTTGCATAATGACGACAAGCCAAAGAATCCAGAAGAAATTGACAGGATCATATGTGCTGAAATTCCTGACGAAGAGAACGACAGAAAGATGTACCAGTTGGTGGAGAAGTATATGATACATGGAGCGTGCGGACAGGCGAATTTGAAATCTCCATGTATGAAAGATAGAGCTTGCACGAAGCGATTTCCAAAGCCGTTTGTGCAGCGCACTGAATCAGATGCAGATGGATTTACAGTGTATAGGAGAAGGGAAGATGGCAGAACAGTTACGAAGAAGAAGACTACTCTTGATAATGGGTTTGTGGTCCCCTACAATCGTATATTGTTGAGTAAGTACCGAGCTCACATTAATATCGAGCTATGCAACCAAAACAAGTCAATTAAATACCTGTTCAAATACGTAAACAAGGGGCATGATCGAGTCACAGCGGCATTTTATGAGACACGCAATACAGATGGCGGTGCTGAGATTCGTGATGAGATAAAGATGTACTACGACTGCAGATATCTTTCGGCCTGCGAGGCAATGTGGAGGTTGTTTAACTTTGATATTCATTACAGAGACCCGTCCGTAATTAGGCTAAGCTTTCATCTCCCCGATCATCAGCCAATTGTCTTCAATGAAAACCAGTTGTTACAAACTGTGTTGGATAGGCCATCTGCCAAGCAAACTATGTTCCTGGCGTGGTTTGAGGCCAACAAGAAATATCCACATGCAAGGGACTTGAGGTACGGAGATTTTCCACAACAATTTGTGTATAAAGAGGATTCTCGAACTTGGGCGCCAAGGAAAAAAGGATTTTCTATCGGTAGGATTGCGAATGTTCCCCCTGGAAAGGGGGAAGACTATTACCTTAGGTTGCTACTTAACATTCAAAGGGGATGCACGTGCTACGAGGACATTAGAAAAGTTTTTAACATCGTCTACCCTACGTTCAGGGATGCATGTTATGTGTTGGGTTTGCTAGATGACGACAAAGAATACATAGATGCAATAAAAGAAGTGAATACTTGGGCATCGGGGGATTATATAAGAAGGTTATTTGCGGTTATGCTGCTTTCCAATAGCTTAAGTCGGCCCGAACATGTTTGGCAAAGTTGTTGGTTGGATTTGGCTGAGGGTATTGCTTACAAACAACAACGTCTTCATAAAAATCCAGGTATGGCAATTTTTATGGCATTGCATTCAATTAGATTTTACGTATTAATCATTCTTTTAATATTGTCTTTGTACGATTTCAACTAGATGCACATAATTTATCCATTTTTTTATTGTTGA